TACAACATCGAAATGTTTGGTAGACGATCAGAGACAAGGATTAAACACCAGATTTCTCGGCCCATTTTCCACATGTGGTGGCAAGGTCAGGTACATTATGTGTTCAGTCATAGCCATTTCGAAGACTTGTTTTTTTTTATTGTTTCTACAATTAAAAATGAATAAAACACATACCGTCCTACTCATAGTTAAATGATTACTTAAGCAGACTTTTATTATGTAAATTGCGTCATCAAAACTCTGGAGAAAATTACCACAAAAAACTACGGCATCTTGCCTCACTTTTGTGCTCTGGATTTGGAAGTAATAGATATATAAGTATATCTTTGGTTGTGAGTTCTATTTTATAAAAGATGCACATTGAAATGTAGACAATTATACACTTATTTGCTTAGAAGTATCCTTATTCCTTACTAGATTGATATACAATATTATTGTTTATTGTTCTCTCTCGTATCTATTACTTTTACTTACATATACATAACTTCGTCATTCGGGGCGGCAGTGGCTCAGGCGTTAAGCATTTGACTTGCAATCTGCAGGTTCTGGATTCGATCCCGTTATGTGCCAATATGTTTTTCTATTTTCGATTTACATTTATCCGACATTTTTACGGCGAAGGAAAACATCGTGATGCACTGCACATATCTGAGAAGAGATTCAAAGATATGTATCAAATTGCGCTGGGCCAGCGTGGTTGATCCGCAGCAGACTCCGAGCCCTTAGTAGGGACATAGTGAGCTGATGATGATCTATATCATCGATTGATAAAACGCCACGCTTATTTAATAACATAAACATAAATTTAATGTCGCTCTTTATAATATAAATTTCGAAAAGCATCGTTTTCGGGGAGAACCTTTTTTTTCATCCTTACAAGAATACTCTACCTGCGTCAAAAGACCCTTTGGACCTGTTTCAAACGAAATCTTACTACAAATTTACGTTCAGATTAAAAAAAATGTCAATAGTAGAAATTTCGATGGCGCTTACACATTTAAAAGGAGGGGTTCCTTAGTTTTTTTTTTGTAAATGGAATGGAATAAATTGTGCCGAACTCGGTTTCAAGTGGTTGTCTATTGTTGGCTGGTATTATGTGAGGCGCCCGGCAAATTTACTGTCATAGACAATGCAATGCTTTGTGGGTGTGCTTTACTATAAATTGTATAGATTACAAAGACTTATATGAACATACAAAAGTATTCTTTTAATCATCCCGTCGCGTCTTAACAATTTAAATAAGTTAAAGTGGTCTATATCATAAATCTGTTTATCTAATAACCTATTTCAAATCTTCGTAGAAACAAAAGCACTCATCTTTTGTTACTTCAGATTTAAGTCTTTTAACTTATTTCCATCTTATTTAACTTAGAAACACATACAATATTCATTCATACACCTAACCATAAATCAAAATGTTTGTGTGTAAAAATATTCATTTACTATTCACATATGTGTAATTAATGTTGTGTGTGTGTGTTTTTTTTTATAGGAGAAGGGGGCAAACGAGCAGCGAATCGCCAACGTGTGTAATTTACAATTGCAAAATAAGTGTCATTTTTATTAACGTTAGTCACTAGGCCTTATATTTAAAAGTTTAATGGTTAAATTTTATTTTTATTTCGTCTGTTTTAAGTAAAAAAATATACAATTTTTAATTAGCAATAGGCTTCACAAAATTGTTGCAATCTCTGATTCCCCAATTGAATGAATATACGCACAAAATTCTAGAAAACAACTAGATTTTAAAACATACGTTAATTATATTATAATTACAGTATATTTCGTTTAATAGAAATCGGTCTGTAATTTGTGATTATTATTCGAATGTAGCCTCGCCCACAATTATCCTGTTTAATGAACAGTTTATTAGTTCGCAATTACCGCCGGTAAACACGATTGCATTAATTGTCTTCATTTCCGAATAATTAAAAATGTTATTATACATTTTTAGTACAAACGTTTAAGCCCCGCCCAAATAACGTTAGGTTTTTTTTTTAATTTTAACCATTACTCCAAATATTATAAAAATCTTAACTACGCATTTCACAAGCAAACATTCATATTCTATATCTGGCCGATATTTTTAAATTTCCAATGACAGCAAAAAAAAAAGCACACTTGTCCTCGGTTCTCACACCAACTATTAGATTAGTTCACAAAGCACAATGGACATATTGGCCCCACGTGTGCGAAACCCTTCACGCATGATCTTTGTCAAGAAACGCCTCAAAAAAAAACAACTGTCAAAGAGAACTTCACCGACTTTTGCACTTCATCAAAAATAAATTTACTCCAAATAATAATACCCGGCAACTTGCTGGCATCTTTGTTATTTGAACAATGGAAGAAAAAAAAGAAGGTTCCAACGTTCTTTTGTTAGTGCAAATACGAAGCTGAATTATTGTTTTTAACCTGATTTGTCCATTACACTTTCAAGTGGACATTGAATAGGTCCTTTTCAAAGTTAAAGTTCTTTGTAAATTTGAATTACATGATGAACGTCTAGCCACCAACAATTTTTCTATTGTTAACGTAAATACATATAGATTGCTAATATACAGCCTGAATAGTTGTAACTGACATTGTGGTGTGTTTTTTTACAAAACGGCGAGACAAGGGCCAGACATGAAAGAATCGCCAGTATCTCTTTTACAAAGGTTTCTGTGCTTAATTAAAAAATAAATGCAGGGATGTTAGTATAATATATATTTAATTAGTTTCGTTTTGAATTAATTACTTCTAATGTTTCCAATGTAGCCGCGGCTTATGGCACTTGGTGGATGGAATCGCCAAACTTCTCTTGAGTTTTATATTATCATTGATGTAAAAGGCCAGGGTTAATTAATATCTAATTATTTCCCATATTATTAGTTAAAACCGTTATTTTTTTACTTTACCTATTCTTATCGTTTGTCATCATTTTCAACTGTTTGGCACATCAAAGCTCAAATATGTACATTGTTTTATAGCGCCATCTCGGCCTCATTATTCACAACTTCGTAAACATACGAAAATTGTCTTTTGTCCCCAATAGATGGCAGCTCGTTCAAAAGTAAGATATTTATAAATATTTAATGGTACACATTTTTATTGCGATAAATAAATACTCTATTGAATTACTTATTTAAAATATATTTATTTAATATTTTAATGACAAAAGCTTATAAAAATAAATTCCATACGAACACTTACATGAACATTAGTGGCCAACACAAGTCTTTCCGATAGATGGCTCTTATTTCGTTACTTTCTTCAATAAAATCTTTTTGCAATAAATTTGCTGTCAATATTGATATGAATTCCGTCTGACATTTGGTATTAAAAAAACAAAAGTCAGGGCATCGGTGAATTTGGTAAATATTATTTTCGGAAAATCAATCGTAAAATTTTGCGTAAAATACCTACTAGATGTAGAGTATAAGTTTTTAATAATTCATCATCAACAATCTGTAATCGAATTTTGCTGTTGATTATCAAAATGGAAAAAATGTGCTATTGGAGTTATTACAATACGAGAAGCTTAGGTTATAAATATCGGAATACGTCGACAAACACAGGCGATGGTATACAAATGAATAGCAAAATGGCAGCAAATTCAGTAAAGAAATTCTCAGATTTAAGTCGAGCTATTAATTCAAAAATTGCAAACGAAGTAGAGAAAACAAACTTAGCTCGTGAATCGATTAAGAATAAAATTGAAATGGTTGACTCCAAGATTAATTCTATTCTAGACCTTCAAAGTACTGTTATTGCTTTAAGGAAAGACCTTAATGCTGCTGAAAATTCAATTGCTAACATATTGGAAAAAGTAGAAATGTTAGAAAAGAAAGAAAATATAACATACACGCCATCTTCCTCATCATGTCATTCACCAGTACGAAGAAACTCTATGTGGGAAGAAATATAGTTTTGGCTCTATTTAAAATTTGAAAAAAAGCAACGTCCATTTTTGTAAACATGTCTTAATCTATATTACAAACGCGTTTTTTAATCTGTCCGTCGAAAAAAAATTAAATTAGTAAATTTAAAATATTTTTTTTTAATAGAAAATTCTAAAACTGTAAAAAATTGTATTTATCTCATTTTAAAGCATTATTTTGTTTGTGTGTATTCCTGTAGATCTATGTTATCTGTTATTGTGTATTTAAAAAAAGCATAAGAGTAAACAAATATATAATAGAAATAGTTTTTTCTAATTATAGACATACATATTTCGGATACGGTAAATAAAAGCGGGAAAGTATGACGGAATTTTTTTTATTTCCATTCATGAAATACATCAAATCAGCTCTCAGCTGAACATCAATAAACATCAAGAAAATTTAGATTATAATAATGTCGTGTATTTAAATAACACAAGTTAATAACATTAATTTTTTCCATTCTAACATTGAATTAATCGTTTAAAACGTTATAAAGAAACATTTAAATGTGTTTAAAGTCACCTACATAAGTACATATTTATTGTTTAAAACATTTATAAAGGTTACACAGAGTAAAAACGATCTTTGATCGAAATCAAAATTTAAAAAAAAATTGCAAAGAAAGTTGTCTATGGCATAGCATAATTAGTACTTGGCTTAAAAGTCAAGTAGCCAGAGCACATAGATAAAAAATTTAGAAATAAAATAGCTATTCAATTTAAATGCATTAAAAAGCACCTAATAAAATTGTACTAGGTATATTACCTACGTCCTTAAAATTATGACATTGTTTCTACACTAATATCAATAATCAATATGGCACAGACTAAATAAATATTAATTCTATTTAAAAAAGTAAATTTACAACTAAGTAACAAAAAAGGCAGTGGACATAATCTGTGGATTAATTATTGACATTTATAAAGCTAAGTACAATTGAAAATAATTAAAGCTAATTAAATTAATTAATAAGTAAATACTTAAAATAGGACTAGCAGAGTAAACATTTTAACAAAAAAATGTCTTGGAAGATTTTTTTTATCTTATAAAAATAATTATACTAAGTTCGAGAAAATTCGCTAATTATAAATGCAACAAAGTAAGATATAATCGTGTAATCATTATTTCTAACGTAATTTTTTTTTAAATAAGAGTTGATAATGTGCTTTAGTGCACATCTTTTACCAGTGGAAACCCGCTTATATTCCGCACTGCAAATTGTTTTACAATTTCATATAAGAACAAGAAAGAAGCAAATTACGAATTTAACATCAATTTTCTCTAAAGAAAAGCACGACATTTTACTACAAAGACAACAAAGCTACACAATATTATAGCGAGTTATATTTTGTTCTATAAAGTGGAAATAATGCATAATATTCAATAAATTTTACATTTCATGCATTTTATATGACTTTTTAAAACTCATTACAGAAAAATTTAAGTCAAAGAAATTACCGATAGAAAAATTTAATGACAATTTTGTACAACTTAAATTTCCGTCCACCTCCTTGAGGATTTATTTTGTTTGGAAATATAATATCTGATATTTTTTAAGATTTAGTATAAACTTTTGAAAAATACAAAGATTGTAGATATAGAATACCCGATATTTTTACAGAAAAGTCATCATAATATAGAGTTACGATAATATTACTAAATAATAAATTATTTTTCTCTACACATTTATACAATAAACACTTCATGTAGTGAAGATGCATTTGTTTTGTCCGTATCGAGACGACATAATATATTGAATAGTGTGTAGTGTGTATATGTAGACACATATAAGCTAGAAGGAAAGTGTTGTCGTCTAGGAAGATTTCACATTGAACAATTATTCCACACACTAACAAACAATGCCTAGATAGACGCGCCTGCGACAAACGATTTTCTTAAATTCAATCAAAAAGGCAGATGAAGGCTCGCAGCAAACCGTCGCAGAACGAGGAGCAGCAGCCGCGCTTCGGGGCCTTCCTCTCTTCTGGTGCGAAGCTCGGCCGCTTGGGACGCTTAGCGCGGCGCGCACACAGCTTACTGGGCTGCTCGTCGGCGGGCTCGGAGCGTGCGCTGAGGTGCACGGGCAGCGCGGCGGGAGTGGCGGGTCGCGGGCGCGCCCACTGTCGTAGCAGTGCCTCCTGCTCCGCGCCCACAGGCACCGGTGCCGACAACTTGCGTGCGCGTGCCATAACCAACGCACGCTCCATCGGCTCCAGCAACTCCAGAGCCAGAGCGCGTTCCAGCTCCTCGCCCGCCAGCAGCAGGTAGCGTGGGCAGTACGCCAACTCGCCCAGCGCAGCGCGCTTGTTGCCTGGCGTCAGCTCGCGCTTGGTGCGCTTGCACGCCGCCGTGCTCCACCGCGACAGTGCTTCCGCTAGCACGAGCTCGTTCGACACGCGCAGGGTATCGCGCTTCACGATCAGCGCGAGATCCTCGTAAGTGAGTTCTTCGAGCCGCTCATCAGTGAGTGCCTCGTCGGCGTTCTCGTCGAGCACGAGAAGAGCGTTGTGTGCGAGGGAGTCACACCAGCAGGAGCACTGGGCGAGCAGACGCGCGGCCATATCGTCAGTGAGAGAAGGCAGCGGCGGCGCGGAGGCGGCCCCCGGTAGTCGCGCGCACATGAAGCGCAGGTCGCGCAAGATCTCGAGAGCGACGCTGGCGTTTAGCATCTCATCAAGCCGGCGTGCGCAGCGCTCGGCGAGCTGCGGGCATAGGAACTTGTAGGCGGCGTCGAGGGAGCATCGCGCCGTGGCCACGGAGTTGAGTTGGGTGGGCTCGCAATAGTGGTACCGCAGGAGCTGGTCGAAGCCGCGACGGTCAATATAGTCAACGACGATGACATCTGTCTTAGCGGAGAGCAGTGCGGCGAAGACGGGGCTTGTGGCGGCAAGCACGCGCCGGTGGCCGGGGTATCGCCAGGTGTCGCCGTTGATGCCCGCCACGAACACGATGTCGCTCTGCTTCTCATCGTCGTAGAGACGCATATTCTCGTCGATGGTGAGGCCGGAGGACTCGCCGCACGGCATGATCTCGCAGCCCGCGTCGATCTCATCCTCGGAGTTTGTGCGTGCAGGGTTCGTTACTATCGTCATTTTGTTGACTGCTTCTTATCAGACCTGGAATAAACGAAAAGTATTTTTATTAATTACAATAAATATTGGAATAAAAAAACTTTTCTACAAAGTTTATACGTTTTTAAGGATTCAATTATGTGATAGGAAAATTAGGTTTTATTTGTTTTAATGTTAACGTCAGATTTAGCGCGATATACATTTCACACTTTCGTACCAGTACATATTCTTACTTAAGAAAGTTACAAAGTAAAAATCATATTAATAGACACAGAAAAAGAAACCAAAAGTAGTACTTTTTTAAAGTCAATGGGCAGTCAGCATCATAATATAAAGAGTCGTTATTTAGCTTACAAGGCGGAGAACAACAGCGAAGTGTTAAACTACACAGTAACACCCAAGGGCAATAAATACTGGTGCGCGAATTTTAGACCGATCCAGTTCCTACTTCATTCAGGTGTTTAATGATTTGATACTATACATTTATTTACCATGTAACTATATTTTAATTGGGTCACGTATATTTCGCGCCTAACACGTTTTATTTTGAATTCAATAACTTGAAATGTTTGTATTAAGTTAATTTAAATTTCAATACTACATGTAACATAAATCAATTTAACTTTTGTGGCTATGATTTCTAAATGTGCGTTTCCATTGTGTGCTTTGCGGAAATGCTTGCTAATTTTTCATATTATCTTACTAAATTACTGATAATTTTCATATAATATCAAAGTAGATGGAAAGCCGTCGGTTTGGCGAAATGTGCGTCAACACTTGATGCGTCATGACGCACGCCGCGCATTCCTCGTTTGTAAACAAAAATATACCGCGTGCGCGCTTCTGAAAACGATTTCCTTTTTAAATATTTTCGGATGCAGTAACCATTCAAAATGTTCACCCGATCTTGTACATAAATATATTTAAATATATCTTTTCCTATTAATAGAAACAAAGTAGTCTATTAAGTCTTACATTAAACTACTAGTCTAGACTAACTAGACAAGTATTTAAAAAGTCGAGATACTTTTAATGAATATTGCAATAAAAACACGATATAAACTATTACTTATAAACCGAGAAATTAAAAATTGATCTTCCTTCTTACTAATATTATAAATGCGAAAATTTGGATGGATAGGCGTTACAAGGTATCACCGGAACGGATAAACGTATCTTGACTAAATTTAGCATAGATGTAGAACATAGTCTGGAAGAACACATATACTACTATCTTTTTTAATTAATCGCTTACGGAGAGCGCTAGTTTGTATTTAAATGTAGTAATAATGAGATTGGAGTAACTAATTTTAGGCTATTATTATCTACGCTCGATTATTCTTTAGCCGAACACTTCCTGCACAATCGAGGTATGTTGCAATCATTTTCCGCATGTTATATCTGGCATGATGAGAAATGCACTCAATTTCGTAACATCAGAGACATTTTACGATAGCTATTTCGCCTCTGACCTATATACCGGCGTAGCTTTATGGACTCTGTTGGTATTGCCCTATATTTAGCGATCCGAGTGTAACGGCTTGCAACGCATAAATACGTTCCACTCGATATTCAATTAGGAACCACTGAAAACATAATGGTGTTTTTGTTGCATTACTCCTGCTGATAGTCTATTTCATCACTTTACCATTTACGTTTTTCCTCTGTTTATATTAAAATAAAAAAAAAACTTAATTAGTTACCTATGTGTTCTTCCAGATTATGTTCTACACCAACACCAAATTTTAGCCGAATCCGTTCAGCAGTTCTGAAGATACCTTCAAACAAACATCCATCCATCTAAACATTCGCATTTATAATATTAAGTATGATAGTATGATAGTTATCTGTATGTATTTAACTTGAAAAAAGGGTCTTAACAAACAGACGGACGGACAACAAAGTGATCCTATAAGGGTTACGTTTTTTCCTATGATGTACGGAACCCCAAAAATGATTCTATATTGCCAAGTCAATGTTTTAATTAATATAAAATAATTTTTGAGATATGTTTAATAATCGCAACAAAGTTTTCAAACGCCCTCTACGTTCTGTATCAGTGCGTGAATCCTAGTTGCGCAATGTGTGCCTTAAGAGCTATAATGCTCACAGATTGCCAAACATCGGCCTTGCACCATTTCAAGGTATTTATTAATTGACCCATTGAGTCTCGCGTGCGCGTTCATTTCATTATTATAACCGGCAACGTTCGCAAAAATTATCCACCAATAGTTATAAGAAAAAATACAAAAACGTTGTAATCTAAACGCATACTCTAAGTTTTCATTTTATTTTGTTTATGATTTGGATATAAAGAAGAATTAACCATAACTACACTTTGGCGTAGAAAACTTAACACAATAAAACCAATCGCTACAAGATTGTTGAATTTTTTGACAGGGTTTTGAGCTACGTTTGTTCCGGTTTTATCCACCACGATAGTTTTGTCAATCTTACAAATATTATAAATGCGAAAGTTTAGATGTATGGATGTATGGATGGATGGATAGATGGATGTTTGTTTAAAGGTATCTCTGGAACGGCTTAACGTATTTTGATGAAATTTGTAACACACGTAGAACATAACCTGTATTAACACATATGCTACTTGTTATGTTTTTTTTTAATTCCGAGACGACGGAGTCGCGGACGACAGCTAGTTAGATAATATTGTTTTTGCTGATACTCCCTTTATTTTTGAAACATCCTATATGTGCGTAAACAAGATGATACATGTAGGTACAGGAGGGTCACAATAATCGTGTGTACACAAAGCTCAGAATGATACGAGTTGCTCTCGGAAATAGCCGGCACTCGGGACTTGGCACTCGCCACTAAGCGGCCAGCAGCAGTCGCGACACGCGGAAATGAACGCACTCGAATATCCCGCAAGCTAATATTGGAGTCCATTTATTTTATTATGCTTCTGCAAATGTATGCAAACAGAAGGAAAAGGAGTTCTGCGTGAATTGAACTTGCATTAGGTACTCTTTTCTTTAATTACCTTTTAAACAACGGTTACTCCAACCAAGGGTGTTTGGTCGAAGTTTGTCCAATCCATCCATCTAAACATTCGCATTTATAATATCTTCTATGTATATAAAAGAAAGTCGTGTTAGTTACACTATAACTGAAGAACGGCTTTACCGACATGGTTGAAAATTGGTGAGGTGGTAGCTTAGAGCCAGGAGACTGACATAGGAGACTATTTATTCATTTTTTTTTTCGAATTTATGCCTTGAAGGGCTGCTTTTTATTTAACTTACTAATATTATATTATAAATGCGTATGTTTAGATTTATATGATGTGGATGGATGGATGTTTGAAGATATTTCTAGAACGGCTGAACGGATCTCGATTAAATTTGGCATACGTATAGAACATAGTCTAAACACATAGGCTACACTAATTAAGTTTTTTTATATATCCACGCGGACGGAGTCGCGGGCGACAGCTAGTTATTTATAGATATTACTGATAGCTTCAAGTATTTCTAAAACAAATAAATACAACTGCTTCCCGTTTAACTTGAAATCAAATATTTAATCATTTGTATTGACAAATTGCTTTTCAGTTTAGCATTAACATAACAATAATACTTTTCAGCGTTTATTATTTATTTAAATAATTTAAGTGCGGTAATAAGACCTTTTACAGAATAACTGACATTGAATCTTAAGAGCTGACAACTTTGTTTAGTTATTTGTGTGTCATTGTATTTCCTGAGGCGGTAAAAAAGGATAATTTTGTATATCTACATATGGACTCCAATACAATACAAAATATATTTGGGTAGCGCATTAACATTGGACTATGATTCGTAATAAAATAGTCAACATATTTTACAAAAATGTCAGAGTTTAATATTGTATATTAGGATACCTTATTTTTTTAATATATTTTCCTTTATTATTGATTCCACCAAAGTTGTTAAGGAAGCAACATGAAACAAATAAGTAAGATAAGCTCTTATTTGCAAATACTAACTGTCGCCTGCGACTCCGTCCGCGCAGTTCAAAAAAAAACTTTACTAGTAGCCTATATGTTCTTCTAGACTATGTTTTACATCCACGCCAAATTTCATCGAGATCCAATGAAGCGTTCTGGAGATACCTTCTAACAAACATCCACCTAAACTTTCGCATTCATAATGTTACTAAGCATTTTTGTTTACTTTGGTACTACAATTCTCTTTCTTCGCTTTGATATATTTAATTACAAATACAAACTCATCATCATTGTTTACGTATTACTTTAGGACGTAGTTACTTGTATTTGAGTTAAAATGGAAAGCTCTGGAGTACGCATGCGCGGGTTGCTGGATGGTGCCGGCCGGGCTCCGTCCTACATCCACACAACTGGGTCAAGAGTAACCCAACGAAATGCCCGCTGTGCCAAACGAAATGAAAAGGAAAAATTAACGTTCAAAAATCTTTTAAAGATCAAACGGTATTTTTATATGATTTAGAGCGCCAGTAGACTAATGGTTAAGAGTACGGACTTCCGATCACATGACTGAGAATTCGAATCCCGGCATTTGACTATTGTCGTAAACCATATTCTGTCACAAGCCTAGAACTTTTTTGGAATGATACACTGATGGAATGATAGTAAATTAACAAAAATCTACTAATCTTACTAACATTATAAATGCGAATATTAAGATGGATGGATGGATGGTTGTTATAAGGTATCTCTAGAACGGCTGAATGGATCTCGATGAAATTTGGTATACATGTAGAACATAGCCTGGAAGAATACATAAGGTACTACATATGTTTTTTTTAATTCCACGCGGAGGGAGTTGCGGGCGTTAGTTAGTATTTAAACAAAATTGTAATCGGAATTTAGATGTGGAAGAACAGATCAATATATTAACGGAAAAGTTTGTGTAATTTAATTTACTAGATTTGTCTTAAATAATCAGTTCAAGTTAAGTAAAGCCGTTCAATAATTAATATATAATAATTTCACGATTTCAATAGCTATACGGAAAAAAATATTGCTGAAACGTGAGAGAACATTCAGTGTTAATAATGTGGAGCAATAAATATTAATTATAAACATATTTTTTTAATGGAGCTGTCCATAAACAAGGCAAGGTTTATTTTAGAAAACACGGTTGCTAGATTTTAAAATACGATACTCTATACAAAAAAAAACCGAAAGAAATGAATCTTTCTAATATTATAAATGTGAATGTTTGATGGATGGATGAATTAATGTTTGATCGAAGGCATCTCCAGAACAGATCCCGCTGAAATTTTACATATACAGGATGTCCCAAAATTCACCGATAAAACGGTAATAGTGTATAGCCAGATCGATCCTATAACTGGGACACCCTGTATATAGAACATAGTCTGGACGAGCACATAGGCTACTAATTAAGTTTATTTTTTATTCCGCTCGGACGGAGTCTGTGGCGATTCCCGTTATGGAAATAAAAATGAAAATAGAAGAAAATTCCTTCCACTGCGAGTATATAATTTTCATAAAGTTTCATTCCATGCTTAAAATACATTCCGGAATTGAGCGAATGTAAAACCAATCACAATCCATAAAAATAATTTACAATTCAACACAGTAACTCAAAATAAAATCATTCTAATATCTATGACTAAGATCAAAGCGAAAAAAAAAACCGGTTTTTATTTCATTTTTATCGCAAAAATCTATTTTTTATTTCGCATTTTAAAATCGGGTCACGATGTTTTACTGATGAGTCGTTACTACGTTTTATGACGAGGATGAGTGAAGTGTTAAAATCGACATAAACTCGGGAAGGTCAGAAACCCAGGCCAGAAATACGCGGTACAGATTTACGAATGTGAACTATATAATAAGAAACGCGTTACTGAATCATCTTTATAATTAATCATGATGGTAATGCGCAAAGCTTTTTCGCAGGCATTTAATGTAGATTTCTCATAAAATCTACACTAAGGGCCTCTCACAGCGTCCAAAAAAATTTTGGGTATGGCAGGTAATTTTATTTCCTACATACAATATCTAGCTGTCTCCCGCGACTCCGTCCGCTCGGGATTAAAAGTATATAGTCCGATTCTCAGAACTACTGAATTTGGGTATAAAATTTCATTAAAATCGTTCATACCGTTCCGCAGGAGTGTGATAACTGGAATTGAGACACGAGAATTTTATAATAAAAGATTTAGGTACATCCCAGTGCATTTATACTTCTGCCCTTTGTCTAAGTTAATACAAAATGAAGTCCATCAAGTAATCTCGTTTAAATTAAAGTTGCGAAAGTTCATTACCCAACAGTTACCAACATAACTTTGAGAAGAGCTCATGTCAATGAAAGCTTTATATAACTTAGCTTTTTCTCTTACAATGTTTCGCAAATTACATTGTTTTTATTTTATATAAACGTTGTTATTTACATCATTATCCTTAATTGATGATATAATTTTAGAGTTTATTAAGTACTCATATATTTTATGTAATTAAATCTTGTTCTAAGTAGGTAAAGTTAGGAAACTTAATAAAAAAATAATTTCCAAACTATATCTCTCTGACGAGTTCATTTTTTGCAAAATTTTTACATAACATACTAGCTGTCGCCCGCGACTCCGTCTTTGTGGATGTATAAAAAACTGAAATAGTGTAGCCCGACCATCCATCCGTCCACATCACATCCATCTAAACATTCGCATTTATAATATTAGTAAGATAAATTTAAAAAACAAAAAAAAAGTATCCTGTGTCCGTCTCCTGGCTCTAAGCTACCTCCTCACAAATTTTCAGCCATATCGTTAAAGCCGTTCTTGAATTATAAATAGTGTAACTAACACGACTTTATATTATATATATAGATAACTTGATAAAACAACTAGTGCTTTTTACCCAGAAAGCTAAAGGAAAACCATGAATTTATGTCATTTCCAAACAGAACTAACATACACTTTTTAATGAATGGCATAACGTTAACTTAGAAATATGTACATAAATAAGTATATAACTTACCATTCAATAGTAACAGCATATATAAAATAAGAGAAAATCCAATAGTAAATATTTACTACTAAACATATAACTAACTTAGTTCTTTACTCCTCGACATTCAAGACTTATACTGAAAGCAATTTCCAGAGAGGGAACTAATATACTGCGCCTTTGGGACTTAATCATATAACTGAAAGCATGGAATATTCTGTTAAAGGAATTTCACAGTACATTCGTAATACCATGCGAAACTTTTCCATCTTAATTTATATGTATATTTAGTGTTTTTGTCGCTCATGAGTCGAGCTTCGTGTGGCAAGTGCGCTTGCACCGGTGTCTGACACACAAATGATATGTTGACGTCACGATTGGTCATACTTATTAAGTAGACGTTAAGGTCAGTGTACACGCACTAATGGTGTAAACTTAACTAAGAATCTAATTTGATTATAATATATTCGAAGTTGCGGGAAACAGTTGTTTGAAAATATTTATGATTCAAAATTACTGGTTATGTGCCAAAATTTATACGTCAATTCCAAATAGTAGACATTTAAAAATCCAGTGCACTAACTAAATCAGCTTTTCCTTGGAATCCAATGATAATACCTGGTTTTCATTATCCCAGTACTACTACTGAAATTATGATTTATTATTATACAGACAATGCCAATCAAGCGGTACTGTTCAGCAAGACAGTATTAATTGCAGTTAGCTATCGCTGGCATGGACTGTTTGAGCTTACTGGCGCCAGTTACTATTTATATTATGCCAACAATATGCCAGCGTTAATTTTGATCTCCTCTGTCCTACTGTACTGGCATATTGTAAAGCATAACACTGTTTTTTCTTTGAAAAATCATAGATAATTATGTTTTTTACAAGTTTATGACAGTGGAAACTCGCGGTAGCTTTTCACATCTTTCCATCTATGTATTAACAATTGTAAATATTTCGATTTGTAATAACTAATTTACAATATCTTTGGGTAATAAAATATTTTTTAATAAAACAGTAAATTAGTTTACCACGTTCTTGTATGTAAATTAGTAAAATGTGTAATTAAAAAATATAATTGGTTCTGCGCGAAGATGCCAGACGGTTTAAATAACAGTGGAATTCCACTGACGTGACACTTATATGATTGATGTCGTCCCTTTCATTATCTGTGACAAAACAGAGACTAAAATATGTAATAATTCAAGTGCTACGGCCGTGGAATACTACGTTAAGAGTTTGTACAGCTGCGACATTGAAGACTGACACCTCTCCTTTGTAAGTCAGAAAGTGAGCGTTCTTGTTTAAAATATACAAATTACTTATTATCGAGGCAATTTGGTAATGACAAAAGTATCTTTAAACGTATTACTTTCGATTTAAATAAAAATAATGTTTTTAATATAATACTTTCGATTTTTTTATTGTGAAATTAGATGTAACTTTTTTTCTAATATATTTGTTAAAAAAAAACTATTTTTGCTACAAAAAATTAACTCTATAACTAAACTCCATACTCTAATTCTAATTCTATAAAATAAAACAGTTATGTTGTGTCTCTAATCTAGCATTCTTAGATCTAAGAATTAGAATTAGAGTATGGAGTTTAGTTATAGAGTTAATTTTTTGTAGCAAAAAAAGTTTTTTTTACAAATATATTAGAAAAAAGTTACCAGTAACATCTAATTTCACAATAAAAAAAATCGAAAGTATTAAAAACATTCTTATAAATCACGAGTAACAATTATCCCTTAAGCTTAAAAATTCACGTATCTTGTATAGACAAAATATACTAAGAATAATTTTCTTTTCTTTTAAGCATCTAGTGAAAGTTTTACGCACAAGAAACTGATAAAACATGGAAAATCAAATATTACTTTTATATAAAGAATTTATTTTTAAAATAAGCTTCAGCAGAATTATTTAAATATTGAGATGAACACTTTTGAGAGCTAATATTTAACGTATCATTTAATAAGAATATTAAATAATATTTAAAAAGATAATTTAGGAAGTAATCACAAAAATTTTGCTGTCATAAAAATAATGGCCACAATACATTAACGAAAATAAAGAATAAAAATTGGAAAAAAATATTTGAATGTGTAATGTGTACTTAATAGTTAACTAAAATATATAATTAAAAGGAATCCCTTTAGGCCTTTAGTTAAATTATTTATAGAAATACGACGCAAATCAAAATGTCTGCGCAGGTATTGTCAAGCAACAGGCAAACGCGCAGCTGAAGCTCAATCGTTATAAACTCATTTCTCATCGGAAATAGGTCAAAGGAAAACTAATTTCAACACAAACCATACAAAACGAATCTTTGATTAAGAAGAAATTGAAAACTTTACAATGTTATAAAAATATTTGTCTCGTATATAAATAAAACGTAATTACAATTTCGTTACGTTTTTTATTATCAGCTCGTAAATAATTTTCTAGTTTATTTTAATTAAAAACTTAAACTAGAAAAAAATTGAATGAAATTTCAATTATAATGCTAAAGAAGCAATTTACGCAACGTAATCAAAGTGTTAATAATAAATATTAAATTAATGAATAATTGATGATTTCTAATAAAATAATAACGAAGCAATCTTGTATTAATTGGTCTTTTTAGTTTAATTAATTCATATTTCATTGTTCGTATTATATTGTTGCTACAGGGGTACCAAATCTAAATATTAAACTCATAATAAGCAATTTATTTCGTCAATTAAACTAGTCTTATCGTTTTTACATCAAAACGTAGGAGTATATTGAGTAAAAAGTCAATACTAGTGGAAAGTACAAGTTCCGAGACATATATTACAGCCATCGGAAACAAATAGTTACCTGTTGTTATGTCCCTCTGCCCCTCCTCACATTTCACATGGAAATCTCCTTAAACGTTCAAAATTTTCAACTATCACTGCACAAAATGCTTATATACTGAAAATATGTGAAAATTACAGCAATTAATAGACTATTTTCAGGACGTGCGACTGGTTATATGGTTGATTTCTTATTGGGAAGATAGGGTGGTGCCGGCGCGCGCCGCCCGCCCTGCGAGCTCGCGCGGAAAAACCCGAACCGGGCTCAGTGCGAGGTTAGCACGCCGCGCAGTGTCACGCTCGCGGGCTAGCACTAACACGTTGTAAGTATAGTGTCACGCTGGCGGGCTAATATTAGCTCGCGGTGTGTTGGCGTGAGGGCAGCGCGAGCCACGAACGTCGAGTGCCCGGCCGGTCGAGCTGTGCCCGGCCGACATCGAACTGTCTCGCGCATGCGCAAGCCAACAACAACAAACAAATCCGTCTGTTTTCAGCCGTCAACATCGTTATTGACAAAACCTTAGCAGCCTTCATTTCGTATCAGTTCAAATTGGATTTTATTAATTTGCATACCATTCGGTGTTCAGCGAAACGAATTATTGCAAATTTGTTTTAAATTTTTCAATTATGAAATAATTGAATAAGTATTGAAAATTATATATTTATTATTACTATACACAATCTTATCTTACTGATATTATAAATACGAATGTTTGGATGTATAGATGGATGGTTGATTCGATCGATGTTTGTCTGTTCTGGAGATACCGTCTATATCTCCTATATATATCTATATAACAAAACGGATCTCTATGAAATTTGGCATGAATGTAGAGCATAGTCTGAAAGAACACATAGGCTACTAATTAAGATTTTTTTTAATTCGCGAGTGATAGCCAGTATAATGTACATATACTACCAAAAACCTAGGTGAACCTACTAAAGTATCAAAATAAATTTAAATGTCAAAGTGAGATTGCGTTCTTAATTTAAAAACGCATTATAACGAGTTTTCGCCTTTTTTTTCAATTTCATTAAAATGTTATCGTAACACAATACGTTCGACAAAGGCCGATAATATTCCGGTAAATGGGGACCGGTTAAATAAATATATGTAAATATATATTTATGTTTTAAAATTATTACATTCATAAAGTTTCAATTGAAATAATACTCATTGAAGCTTTTCATACTTTGCATAAAAGTTTTCTTTTTTAAAATTGATTTAGTACTGGCCACTATTAATATAGGCGTATAAGCCAAGACAATGGCAAGTTTTTATTTTTAATTTTTTTTATTTATTTTAATAGTTACGACCCGGCCAGGCTAATTATAAACCTTAGTTTTTATATAAGTATTACATTTAAGTTATTATAAACAATTTTTAGTAAAATTTAAGATTCTTAAGTAGTGTAACATAAACGCCACTTCATTCATTGGTGTAGGGTGACCATTATTTTCTTTTTATCCGAAAAGTGCATAAAATTATAAAACTGCTTCAAATACACGTGACAATTATTTATTTAAACTTCAACCTTAGACTACACGTGTACACAAATATGAAAATGATTGCGTTTAGTGAAAAAATATTTATTCAATAATCGTAATTTAATTTTATATGCTTGTTGTCTTGTGGTCACATTCAATTTAAAACATTATTTGTAACGGTATTAAATAATACTATATTTTTTGGAATTAGATATTTAATTTTACAAATATCATGGTCATACTACGCATGCGTAAGCAGCATTCATTGAGTCATGTTATTTGGAATTATTACTGTAACTTAAACTAGCATTTTAATATTTAATGTCAACGGAATATTAGTTACTTCAAGGTCTGTTCCGATAACAATGTAAGACTTATTTATTCTACAGTTTCAATTTACATTAAACATTACAAACCTACTTATTAATTTTGTCGTTGGTAACCATCAAGTGTTTCCGGTTTCATATTCCGTCTTATTATTTAAATGGTTACGGAAATCAAATTATTTCATTAAAATTTATTTTTTGTATAATATATTGTTATCAATCTTTGTTATGACAGTGATGTGGTACAGAATCTTTTTTTACTACCTCAAGAAGAAATATGGCCAGCCCTTTGATACTGAAAAACAAAAGACGAACAACATTAGCTTCTTATGTAGGTCGACAACGGGTATTCTTTTTCATAGAGAGCCGACACGAACCTACAATTAATGTTACCAAACACTGAGTTGAATCTAATCAGTTATTAATACCAGTCCGCGTTAACCCATTGCGCGGTACGTCAATGCAAATATGAGCATAAGCTTTACTACTTGCTGAACAGGCATTAAACCTTTCTGTTATCCATTTGGTCAAGGATAATTTTATTAACTTGCTAAACATTACTGTTTACACCATACGATTCTAAAAGATAGTTGCTTTAATCCATGGGAGTTCAATTGCCGAACTGCCCTTAGTAGGTTTCCGATTATCTCGGACACATTATTCAAACGAATTTAAAGAATCCCTACAGTTTGCAAAATTTAAAAGTCTTTTTCAGTGGTGTGGTGCAAATTTATACACGGCTCAAAAGGTTTTTAGAACTATTAACATAGTATTTTATTAATTCTTTGCGGTTATAGTTGAGATAAATTAAGGGTTTGTTTATAATTGTTACGCAAAATTTGTTATAATAATATAATTAAGCGCAAAATATTAAGATAGACTGGACTTCAAAAAATAATTTGTAAAACGCTGGTGTAATGGTGACATAGTGTGTATTAAATTAGACAGACGACATAAATTTTCCCATTCCAATCGCAATTAACATTTGATTCTATTGTTAGTTAGATTCTAATTTTTAACAATGTTTTGTTAAATTAGTATCTTTTTTTACTTTTTGTCCACAAAAACTATATATTTTAAAGTGGACTAATGACGTCAACCTTGCTTCTAAATTCATTGTAAGTCGAAAAAAAAGTAACATATGTCACTGTCAAAATAAAAACATATATAGTGATTTAAACAAAAATAAGAAATTTCTTCTATCTCCGTCACGGAAGAATTTATTATATTGTTATTTGTTTATTCATACACCCAAGTGGTATTTAAGTACACTTGTTAATATGTCTTCATATTTCGAAAGACAGAAGAGTCTGTTTAACACTTTAAAAGATGCCGAAGAACAATATAGCTTTTCGAAAACAAACAAGGCCTCACCTAATACAGATTATGGAGTTATCGATAGAAGTGCTTACAGAAAACTTAAAAATGAAATGAAGAAATTTGTTGGAAAAGAGAGTATATTTAAACGACCAGAAGCAAAATTACGGAATTGTCTCTGTCCAAAAACAGTACCTGACCATGTAAAGAATCCTGATAAATGGGTTTATTACTCATTATCAGATGTGACTGCTGAACAAATGTCAGATGCCACCAACACCGCAACTGCGTTAGCACTGATACGTGAATTAGAAGAAAGAAATATTGAAAAACATTCTATGGATGAAGATTCACACGACAGTTTTGTATTTAAGAAACCTCTCTTCAAAGCATCCAAGACACTAAAGGTCAAACCTATTGAAGATGATGAGAAGCCAACAATTAAACAAACCAAAATCATAATGCCAGAATATGTTGTTGGTGTTTCAAAGAAAAAAGAAAAGAAGAACAAAGTACAGATATCAAATGACAACTCAGATAGAACAAAGAAAGTAGAATTAAAACTAAATCATCTCACAGACTTAGATGATGAATCTGAAGTCTAATTTTATAATAAAAATATTACTTCACATTTGTTTTTTTTTCATTATTTAATCTTAATATGTTTAATTGGCTGGCAAGTTTGCTTTAATACAAAAAATAATAGCTTGGAACATGTTAAGCTGGCCCATTGCATGAATGCTCATAGTGTAATATGTTACATTCCACCACATAACAGTTGGTCAGTACCTTGCTTTAATTGACATACATAAATCTTGGAAATAAAACAGTAGTTGCTTGTCAAATATTTAATGATTCCATTTAACACTGTGACACTATAGCGGATTCAGACTTAATTTCCAGATTATCACCATCCGTCTTGTTTTCTGCAGCAAAAGCACTAAGATCCCTCATCATAGAGAATGCATCCTCGCCATCCGCATAATACTTAGGTTCTATTTCGAGAATTTTAAAACCTAAAGAGTTTGTGTAAAGATTGAGAGCAGCTCTGTTGCTTTTTCTCACATGAAGTGATACATATTTCGCCTGAAAAATAGAATAAAATATTAGTGACATCAAAACCTTAAAGAGCTTAGTATTGAATAAATTTGAATTTATGGCATATGAACATAAAATACACTATTTTTTATATCTATGTCTATAATACTAACCATGAGTGCTAAAGTCTCTGTATAAATCATAACATCTCAGTCATAATCTTTCACAACAATATAACAACATGTTTTAAACTGAGATTTTGGACTCGGAGACTCATGGTAAATGACTTAATTTTACAGTACCGATAGACATAGTAGATATTGTTGCCCCTTTTATTGTTTTTGAGAGAATAGAGGCTACAATACAAGAGGCTGAATACAAGGCTAACCGCGGGCCGAAAACATTAGCACAAAACTTTTTTTTATTTTTTTACCTGGAAACATTCAACCATAGCCAGTGAAGCTTGGTTCATAAGTTTTTGTGCAAGACCAAGTCGCCTGTGTGATCTCTTCACTGCTAAGGAAGTGATATGTCCATGACGATTATCTTCTCCATCCTCCTCCATTTTTGCCAGCACATAGCCTGAATAAATAATGCTGATTAATTTCTAAGATGACTGCAATTTGTTCACATATTATTTTTATTTTATTATAAGATGCCAAGCAACCGCCTGAATTCTCCAAAATAAGGAAAGTGACTTTTAATAAAATTAAGGTAACTTGTTCACAATGTGGTATTGGATAATATATTTAGTAACGCTTACCTACAATGTGCCCTTTTTCATCTTCAGCTACATAGCTCAGTTGTGGCCAAGAGAGACCATGATAGAAGTAATATTTCATCTGATAGTTCTCAGGTAGACACAGCAAATTGCAATGCTGCATATTCATAAGGTCGCTTGGACGTGCACACCGAATGTTCATTTTGACCTGTACAATAATAGCTCTTGATTTAAGATAAGTAAGTATCTTTTTTACAATAGATGAATAGAAGTTTGATGTGTATTATTCTCTTCTTAATTTTTTAATTTTGTTAGGCTGTCTTGTCTCTGACGCCGGGGGCGTATCGGACATTCCCCCAAGGAGTTCACGAACAAATCGAAATTTAGACAAACAACACTTCCATACAATGTACCAACCTAGAACAAAGACAAAGGACCATGCATAAAAGGTATTCAGAAATATTTACACAGCATATATTAGTTCTTATTTAGCTGTTATACCAAACAAAATACTACTTACAAAACAACACAAATACAAAAACTAAAATTACACTACATACGAAGGTTAAAATAGCTAAAATCACTTCCTTCATATCCGACTACATAAAAGATTAATACAAACATTAACTCAGGAATAATGTAGAATGCGACGTTCTCGTCAATTATTAAAATTTAATAGTTAACAAAGCCATAACAAAGGAAGTTATGTGAGATAACTACGACTACTGTGTCTAATGAGATAAAGCGAACAGCGCCATTTTGGCACTTATTGGAGACAGGTGTACGTGCAAGTAAACAATAAATCAATAACTTATTACTTATTTACATCAACTTTCTCTTTAGTGATCTAAACAAATGTTAAATAAAGTCGTACGTATGAAATCTCCTTGTCAACTTCTTTTTGTTTCCAAAGGAATAAGACAAAGCGCCTAACCTAAAAAATCAATTCAATTATAATAAATGTCATTAATTTTTGACAATCTAGTAGGAGTTCAAAAAAATATAAACACTTTGGTAATAATACTGAAAATAAAAGATAAAAAATTATATTCATTAAATAACCCTGTTAAAAATGCGCAGCAAAAATTGATTCTTGGAATAGATTTCAAATGGTATTTGTGAGTGTCTAATCTCCGATTACTTTGTATTAATTTGGAATACAGTGTTTAATAAAATAAGACGTCGCATCAAGAAACTGCTTCTTCGAAGATTAAGAATTTATTCATTTTGCTAGGTATTTTTGAATTATAAAGAATGAAATATAACAAAAAGTTTACTTATTATACAGTGGAATGCATTTTCAAACGTTCAGAACAAAATTTAAAACTTAAATGTCAATGTCATTGTCAAACACCAGTCGTTTTTTGCGAACGCAAAGAAAATTGAAAATAATAACTAAGAAGATACAAAATTGAATATGGATATAAATTTAGTGCCGTAGTGCAGATCACATTTATACATGTCATCGTTTTATAATATTAATTTCATAACAACTTATCAAGCACAGATATTAGATTATGGATGAAGATCGCAATGATTCGTAAGTTACTTATGATATATAATTGCTATCATTATAACAATATATAAAAATGTAAAAAAAACGTAGGTACAGGAGTCCAGTGTACACTAAGGAAGAGGTCAATGCTTTGTTGAATATTATTGAAAATTATAAAAGTATTATTATAAATAAATCAACTTCGTCCGCCGCTAGTCACGCTAAAGACAGAGCATGGAATTCAATAGCCAAAGTTTTCAATAGACAAGGCTTCAAGCATACTAGGAGTGTTGAAAGCATAAAAACCAAGTGGGATAATTTAAAAAAAGAAGCAAGGAAGGCAGCTAAAAATATTTTGATAATTAAAAACTATGACAACGATTTGTGGAGTCGAGTTGTTACGATGTTATTCGAACATGAAAAAAATGAAGACTCCAAACCGTGTCTTGAAAATGGATCAAATGGTTTGTTATCAATATTTCTTGTAAATTTAGGTCATATGAAAATTATTGACTTTGGGTAAATTTTCAGAGATAAATACAAAAGATAAAGATAATGCAACGGTAATGGATTTTGAAGAATGTGAAAATGAGGAGTCTGATAGCTCAGGTATGATGATTTTACTATTTTTTTCTGAATGTTAAAATTTACACTATAATATTGTTGAATTCATAATTGAAAATTGTCTTTTCAGATGGTGATATGCTGACTATTAGGTAGGTTAATTTTATTTCTACAAACATAAATTGATTTCACTGCTAATGCACATGTACAGACAAAGATATAAATGTATTTCAACTATAGAAATCACTACCTTCTATATTTCACTGGATAGGCTATAAGTGATTGCATATTGTGCCTATTTGATTTCTGCCATTTCGGCACAAATGGTAGTGGGTGATAGCATTGTTTGTAACATTAAGTAACTAGTGCTTTTATGTTGCTTAGTTATAATAAAATCATTGTATTTCAGGTCAAACAGATCTTCAAATTTCTTACCACAAGAGTGCAGTCTTCTTTTAAAATGTGTTAGAGAAGAGAAAAATAATATATTCAATAAGGAAACGAATGCAAAAACAAATCTTCTCAAAAAAAGTGCCTGGACGAGGGTATGTATTAAAAATTTTGTTAAACATTTAACAAACTGCATTGCATGGTTAACACATGTGCTGCCACAATGAACTTTATTAACATAAGTTTGTGGCAGTCAATGTGTTTAAAGTTTTATTTATTGAATGTTGTTTATAAATTTAGTATACTTTATGCAAATTCAAAACAAAATTGCTTTATTTGTATAAAAGTACTATATGTGTAGAACTTTTTTTTAATTAACTACATGATACAGATTGCAGAGTCCTTTAATAAACAGAGCCCACAGAAAAGATGTGATAAAGTTTTGCGCACAAAGTTTCACAATATGAAGAAAGCTGCCAAGGCAGCACATATGAAACAGTATTCATTGAATAGTAAGCATGAAAAAGAGGTATGAATCTTATTATAAACTAGCTGTCGCCCACGACTCTGTCCACGTGAACGTATAAAAATACTTAATTAGTGTAGCCCACCCACCCGTCCATCCACATCACATCCATCTAAACATTCACATTTATAATATTAGTAAGTTAAATAAAAAGTAGCTCTTCAAGGCATGAATTTGAACAAAAAAATGAATAAATAGTATCCTGTGTTCGTCTCCTGGCTCTAAGCTACCTCCTCACCAATTTTTAGACATATTGGTAAAGCAGTTCTTGAGTTATAAATAGCGACACAACTTTCTTTTAGATATATAGACTAGTAATCTCTTTATTAATTGTTTCAAAATGTAACTTTTCATTATATAATTTTTTTTTGTATAATTAAACGTAATCTCTTTCAGAAAATAAAGACTGAACCACTGTTTGACTGTAAATCTGACTCAGACACAGATGAAGAAAATACTAATGACAATTTAGAAATGGATACCTTAAGTTCTAATAAAAATAGTTATGTAACCATTGATCCACTAGATATAGTGATCAATGGTGACTGTGAAAATGGTAAATATTACAGTTAAACCTGGATAAGCTAACTTACTGTGAGTTTCTGAGGCCAAAATCTCCATTTAACAGGGCAACTATATATTTTAAACGGAAATTTTAGTCTCAGAAAACCATGGTAATAGGAGTTTCTCTCTAACCATAGGTTTCTAGGTTATGGAGATTGTCCTTCGTGACAGGACAGTGATTCTCGTTTGTAGAGGTTTTTTTATAGGGGAAAGGGGCAAAACAAGCAACAAATGTTCTTGCTTTTTCAAATTTAACTATATCCAAGAACTTATTTTGATGTTGTAGAGCATATTTATTTTAGCTGTCATTTACAAAACTTGAAACATTTTTTTTTCCAGAAACGAAACCCCCATATAATCCCTGGTGCACACATGATAGTAAACATGTTGAGAATTTAAAAATACAACTCCTCAATTATCAGTTGGAAACTGCAAAGGTAAGAGTATTCCTCAATTATTCAAACTTACATCAATATTACAGCTACACTCCTAAGATTCATAAATCAGTAGCTGGTGCCAGAGACTCCGTCCGAACGGAATTAAAAAAAAAGTAGCCCCTGTATATTTCCAGACTATTTTCTATACTTGTGCCAAAATTTCATCAAAATCCATTGAGCCGTTCTAGAGGTACTTTAATACAAACCATTAATCCATCCATCCATTTCTCTAAATTTTCGCATTTTTAATATTAGTAAAAAGATCTAGATGGTTTCAATCTTGTAATGAGATGTATATTGATTTTCGATTTGATTTCAGATGGAAAGAAAGAGGCTAGAGAATACAATGCAAGCTGAACTAGCCGCATTCGAATCTAATGCATTGGAACGGTCTCTGAGGCTACGGGCAGCTAGGCTGGAAGTTATAGCAGCACAGAACAAGCTACCAGCAAACCATCCTGCACTGCTGTTTACTGATGAAGAGAAACCAGCCCAACAGTACTTAGAGTGATGTGGTCATACCTTAAGTTATTTTTTGTAAGAAATGAATGAGTCAGTGGCAGTGAATGTGTTAGTGTTGTGTTTAGAATAAGTGTTATGGTTCAAAACAAAAATAAATGTTGCATGTGTAACAGTGGGTTTAAAACATATTATCAATGTTTTGTCAAAGATAATTACACGGATGATGATATGTTTGATACAGAGATTAAGGTCTCGGAAACCCAGTCAGTCAGAATACACGGGATTGTGTGGGTGAGTACTTCTTATATATAAAATTCTCGTGTCACAATTTTCATTTTCTCTCCTCCTCCTCCTCCTCCGAAACGGATTGACCGATTCTCATGAAATTTTGTGAGCATATTGAGTAGGTCTGAGAATCGGCTAACATCTATTTTTAACGGAGTCGAGGGCGACAGCTAGTATTTTATAAATTTTGTGATATTCATAAGATTTCTTTTTTAAAAATACAATTAGAAATAAACTATATTTTTTTAATTGTTTGTTGCTTCTAACCCTTTGCCTGCTACTGAAATTTTTTTATTATTAAATTACTAAATATATAAAATATGACGTATTTTTGACATCCCATTGCAACTTCCAGCATAAAGCCTCCTACAGTAAAATAAAAGGTACACAGAATTAGGATTTAAAATGATACATTGTAGTACATATGAAAATTTTTGTATATTTTATTTGATTGCGTTTTACAAGATGATTAAATTATAATTCTCATAATAATAAAATTAATTATTTTTAATAATATGCATTTGTACAATTTCATCTATGCCTACCTATGTACTACATCTAAATATGATACAAAGCTAATATACAACATTTTTTTTTACATTTATATCTTAATTACTTATAATTTAATATTACTGTATTAAAAAGTTTAGTCCATAATTCCGATTAATTAGGAATCAGATTTCATAATGGAAGCTATATTTAAAGTTGATTTTAAATAGATATTTAAAAGTTTATAGTATTGAAGCAGAAATAAGAAATATACAAAATAATATACAAGAAACTGAGCAGCAAAATAATTGAGCATCCGTTAGTGATATTTTTTACAAGTTTCGATAGAAATAACCGTGAGTTTCCACTGTTGTAACGTGTGTATAAAATTGTTTTCTCAAATTTTTGTAATGGTTTTTCAGCAGTGGAAACTCACAGATTTTAGACACCACAGGTTAGAACGTAAAACAGTAATTTTGTTAGTATTTACTATTGTGTGTTTCAACTGTCATGACAAAGGGTAATTTATCTATATAAGAATAGATACAGTGGAAACCTTGAGTTAGCTTTTATTTAATAAGGTATGTTTTCAAAGCATTTGCTTCTAATTAAAGATTAGAATCCAAAACATAGGTATCCTGATTTCGTTGTTATTTTATAATTTTTTTCAAATACAAAGTGCTAAGAATAGAAATACCAAGAAATTTCTTTGGCTTTTTAGATATTAAATCCGACTGTTTGTGTTATGGGATATGTACAGTAGAGAAAGATAGTTGCAAAGTTAACACCACTACACTTTTTCGTATAAAAATGAACTCGCCAAGCGAGTTGGCAGTTAAAGTGTTAACTCGTTGTTATGATATTTATATAGTACCATTTGCGAATGTACATAAACATCCCATTTACACAAAACTACAAATATTTGTTGCATAAAACTGGACGGACAACTCACTGTGACATCTGAGCATCCAGCATTTTCGCTAATTTAGCGTCAAATTTATGAATAAAATAACAGCAGCCTTGGTTCATTTTTATATATTTCTAACATTTAATAGAAACTCCTTTGTATTTGTCTTGTTATTGGCAGTCTATGTTGAAAGTTCCTATCGCAGTTTTCTTTGGTTATTCTCACAAAAATCAAAATAAACTCAATATACTAACGTTGTAACCTACAAAAATGCAAAATGCACAAAACAATGTGCCTTACGTTTTCATCAATGATCGTTATTAACTATAATTAAGTACAAATTATCTATAGTTACAGCAATTCCATTTGTCGTTATGTTTAGATATGTTTTGCAGCTGAAGCGTACTTACGCTTTATCAACAACAATCATTATTTTATATTCATTGCCTTTTTATCGTATTATACGCATAATTTAAGTAGGCACGTCGAGAAAAAATGACCTTTGACCTTGAACGTTGTCTGTCTCTCTCTCTGTCTTTCTCAGTTAATGTTGTATTGTGTGACAGAGAGAACGCTCTACAAATTGAACACAGCCGTTTTTGCTGAAAGTTTCTTCTTTAACCCGACGTGCCGACTTAAATATCGCGTACTGTACAGATTAACCGTCGGTTTCCGACACCAAAATCTCTGTATAAAATATATAGTCATAACTGTCTTCCACATCTGACGAAACAAAGATAACAGTATGTTGTAAACAGAGATTTTGAACTCGGAAACCCACGGTTACTGTTTAATTGTTAGTTATCTAGCTAGCGAACATCGAACAATTATTTACATAATAACCGTGGATTTAAACTGCCGAATAAAACGCAATCATATTGTTATCCCAGTTTTTTTCACTAAGATTGAAAGAGATGACAATATGTAATACGTAAGTTTCGTCAGTGTGAACCAACGGTAAAGTTCACGAGCGTTCCAGACGCTGTAACACAACCGCTGCCAAAAGCAAAGCGCGAACTTCACGCATATTTTATACTCTTTATGTTAATACCATAATGCAAAAGTCACTTTTATATTAATAACTATGACCTCGATAAATTATATATGTTACTTATTTTAACACACTGCGTACCATCATTAATTTTATTCCAGTGATTCGCTAAGCGAACCGCCATCATTGGAATAAAAATAAGGTGGACTAACAGTGAGTCGGCGGCAGTGAATGTGTTAAGTGACATTTGTACCATGCTACAATGTACAGAGTACGACATAGTTACTAAGTCATCTTAATTTAACAATATCAACATTACAAGCAAAGCTATCCGATTCTATGCGCTTATAATGTACTTCGATGTGGATTTTTTTAAATGTTATTCCACTATCACATGGTTTCATGGAATAAACACATTATTCCAGTTTACAAAAAGTATTCTCTGAATGATAACATCATATATTTTTTAATCATAAATGTTTTTGTTTTCATTACAATGTTTTGTTATTGTAAATGCTTTTTAAAATAATTCCATAAAAAATCTTTATTTAAAATAAATAATTCTTAATAAAAATTCTGCCAGTTTAACGATACGTTCCACAAATATATTTCATGTCTAACATTGGTATTGAATTGTATTAACGTTGAATACATAAAACTTTGTTTTGTAAGCAACAATGTTAGTTGCATTTAGGCAAAGTTTTATTGAAATCTAGGCGATTGTGCGACATCAACTATCACTTCATTGGTACAGTTTCTTCCGAAGTACCGTTTAATTTCACTTTAGTATCTTAAGATGAGTAGTCTAGTACTCACACGAAACGAACTCACGAAATGTAATAAAAAAAATCAAAGGCTTTTAGTCGCGTTATATGTGTAGTGCGGGCAGGGCGGGGGCTAGCGGTGTGAGGGGCGTGGCGGGCGCGGAGGTGGGTGCGGAGGGGGGCACGGTGGTGGCGGGTGTGGAGGGCGAGAGTGCGGGGGGCTCGGCGGCCCGGCACAACGCGCGCCGCAAGTCCTGCGCGCGCGCAGCCAACGTCCGCGCCGCTTCCGCCATCTCGGCGACTGCGCTCGCGCACGGGAACTGCTGCGCCGCCGCTTTTGTCTTCGCCACGGTCACCGCTAGCGCATCAGATAATGCGTCTGAGCATCGTAACGCTTGAGATTTTAGACCAACGTGTTGAGCGCTCCTGTGGAAATTGGTTTCTTTGGTTTATTATTGAAAAACTAAAATAACTATCTTAGAATGCTTAAAACGGAGGAATAAAATAATAATACAATTAAAAACAAGAGCAATATGAGTTGACATTACCTGTGTACAATATCCCCAACATGAACTATCCTGTGCGCGCTGAGTACGACGAACTTGCCATGCGCGAGGAAGACGTCGGGCGGCTGGCCCATTTCAATTGTGCGCAGGAAGGCGTCGACGGCGTTGGCGAGGTGCGCGCCGTACGTGGCCGTCTGTGCCGCGTAGAACGCCGCCAGCTGCCGGTCGTCCGGTGGCAGGAGGGTTGCAGCCGCCACTGCGCTCACCTGAACATAGAAAAGTTGCATTTTTAATTGGTTTATTTCATATGCTTAAGCGAAATTTCTCTAAGTACTACTACAAGGGAGACCACTTAACAATTTTGAGTGCCACCATTAGACGTTAAGTTATCGTTACCTCTCCGGCGTGGTCGGCGTCCCGCAGCAGGGCATCAAACGAGGCTCTTAGCTTGTCAGGTAGCGCGGCGCGTATCTCCGCGTGGCGGCGCGTGGCGGCCGCGCGCGACTCCAGCCGCACGTAGTCGTATTCCTCCGTCCATTCGTGCTCCGGTGCCAATGACCGCCTGATATAAAAAAATAGCAAATTGAAATCGGTATAATCTATGTGTACGTAAAATGGTCCTTTCAGTTCTAAGCAAAGAAACCAACAGAATAAGAAATACAAATAAATAGTAAGTTATAACATTTCAATACCTAAAGAGTAGGGAAGCATTGCCATGTATAAATGATGCGGCGCGGCGGACGTCCTCGGTGAGCGAGCGTGCGCAGGCTACCAGCTGGTCGAGCGCGTCCTGCGAGCCGTCGGTGGGCTCGCGGTCCCGCTCCAGTCGCTCCGGCGCCCAGTCGCCCGCGTCCAGCGCGCTCGTCGCCTCGTGCGTGATCCGCTCCGCGTCCTTCAACGCCTTTACTAGCGGACGTAGCTTTACTGCGATACCTACACACAGAGCAATTCATAAATAAATAAATAGACAAGACTTTAAACTCATCAAGTAGCAAAACACACTGTGCACTCTTGGATTCTGCTTCGCATCGTAAGAATTTTTTCGGATTTCCCGATCAATTTTAATCTATTTCTTTAACTTGTAAGGAATATTGGTTTGTTTGTAGTAAAGAAAAGTCATGCTTCCTCACTTTACTTTATCTACGTGTATGAATCGATCTTTGCTTTTATCGTATCATAAGTAATTAGTAAATGTACCTTTGTCTTGTGCATCGTGTGCGTTGGCGAGCGTGGCGTCCGCGAATACGGCGAGGTCGTGCAGCGCGGCGCGCAGCCGGGCGCCCGCCACGCGCACGTCGAGCACGCGCGGCCTCAGCGCGCCCCGCCGCCGCCAGCCCGGAGACACGTGCGACAGAAGCCGCGACACCGCCGCCGACGCCTCCTCCTGCATGTATATAAACACGTTAGTCTATAGAAAGCAAAAATCAAAAAGAATAACTGTTGTGTTGCATGTTTCATTCTGAAGTAAATTAAAGATATCTGCAATAATTCCAGTCTCTTGTCAACTTATGAGATCGCATTGTAACCCTAACCTTGCGCTTAGATTATTGTGTTTGTGAAGTAACATAAGCAACAGTACCGTAACCACAAACAGGTGTCATTACATGACTCATAGCTACAACAGGACTGATCTTTTATACAACTCCAATAATAACGTCTCTACGGTCACTGCGCTTTGCACTGATATCAACCGCAAACCACGCTTATAATATTTTATTAATATAATGTGTCAAACATAGTTTTAAACATCTTTATTATTACTTCAAGAGTTTGAACAAGCTAACCTCAGAAACTGTATATCACACTTGAATAATTCTTTCTGTAAACCATTTACTAAGATAGGTGGTAGATTATTTAAAATCATCTTACAAGCTGCAGAAGATACTAATTGATGTAATTTTGTCGTAAAGCGTTAGGACCGTACCTGTAACCTCTCTAAAGCTTCTAATGCTGCATCACAAGGCAGTGGTAATGCCCGTGAGCGGGGCACGTCGTATGTGCTGGAGGTAGAGGCGGCGGAGTGTGCGGAGTTCGCGGAGTGCGCGGAGTTTGCTGAGTTCGCGGAGTTTGCGGATGCGCTTGAGGTGGCAGAGGTAAGGGAGCCAGTGCCACTACATGCGGAATCCGCACTGGCGGGTCGCGGAGCTCGCGGCGCGTCGTACCAGTCCCCGAGTGGCCGAGGACAGTCGTATGTACCCCGGCTTACTGGTAGAGGTGCACGCGGCACGTCGTAGTGTGAACATTCTTCTATCTGTGGAGACAGTTTGGTTATTGTAGACTCACAGCTGCCAAATAATCCCCAGACTCTAATAATTATTGTTTTTCATATTAGCGTAAAAGATGGAGGTATTACTTACTTTAGTGAAAGCTGGTGAGTGGTGTGCGGGCAGGGGCTGGTGCGCGACGGGTGCGGGCGTGGTATTCGGTGCGGCCGCAGGCGTGCGCGTGCGGCGTCGCTGCGTCACCGCGCCTGCCTCGAACACGCCCGCCACGATCCGCAGTCTGTTGCCCGGACATATGCCCTGTAACGTACACATGTCCCTTGTTCTTGATTACGATGTAAAAAAAAAACAAATAAATTTTATCTTAACAAAGAAAAAACTAAAATGTGTTGCACTTAATCACCTTTCAACAATCAACTCGTCGCATTTTCTGACTTTGTATTAATAAAAGAAACAAATTACCCTTTCCGTCTAATTTCGAAATTACTAAATGTTTTTATTTCTGTGCAACCTTCATCAGGTTTAAAATGGACAAACAATGACATTTTAATAAAATAAGGGATTTATAAGGTAAACTATTAGTTTGGATTCAGTGAAAGACCGCAGACACTGACACATTACTGTCTCGACAATGATGCAATTCTACGGACTTCTACAGTCCCTAAGTGTTTTTCAATTTAATTGAACAGAAATTAAATAGCGGAACAGCGGAACAAACAACGAACGAAAGTGGGACAGGAAAAACATTTGCTACACGGAATTCATCTTCTAATAAAATGTTAGACAATTAAAAGGTGGTACGTGTAAGTGATATCGCATTTTTTTCTTCATTTTACCTGACTTACGAAGATCTAATTTAAGTAGTAGACTACTTATGAAAGATATAAACAGTTTGCGCCATAAGAATGAAAATATATTTTTTTAACTGTTGCTTTTGATTTTTAAACAAAGTTAAAATAATTAAATTCTTAGACATGTTTTATCTGTTGGTTTCCAATATAATATACATATCAAAATAACAATTATAGTTCAGTTCTAATAATTACTACGTCATGGGATATGGGATAAGGTAACGAAAATCCTGACGCGAAGTCACGTACGATCCGCGTCATGTTAACAAAAACAAACGATGAGTTTAATAGTATGCGTAACGTCGCGATAAGTTTTGTTGTCCTTACAGTTATGTTTTACTGGCCATTAATAGCTTTAGTGGCCAGTCACTTTCTTAATTAAAATCTTTGTACATACAAAGAGAAAACATTTACTCTTAAAGTAAAAAAATGTACAATAGAATAAAAGAGAAAGCATAAGGCGTGTAAGACTCTAGATTTATGTGTATGTGTTATTAAGTATTGTAAAATTACCATAACTATAGACATATGATTAGGGAAATAGGAGATGCAATTCCAGATAGCAAAAAAGTAACGTTTGGGAGAAACTGGGTTTGAAAGGGATGGGTGGTCCTAATTGTGCTTCTCTATCGTCTATCAGCTGTCAATCTGTCACTAACCTATTTCCCTCGTAGTCATTTATCATCGTAGTATCAATTGTGTGTTTCTGTCTTGTGTAAACACTGACCTGTCTGCCTCGCAGCGAGCATAGCCACCAGCCCTCACTGCCACCAGTGTTCTGCTCCAGCACAGTGAGCAGGTCGCCGCGCCGGAACGCCAGCTCGTCCGGCGACTCCGCTATGTTGTCGTAGAGTGCTCGCGCCATGCACTGTAAACAAATTAAAAGTAAATTAATTTAAAATGAAGGTTTTATGAACTAATTACATAAAATATTTTAAAAACAAAGTTTATAAAAATGCCCCGATTAAGTTCTTATGAAACGGAATCCGTTTCAACTAATTTTAGACGGACTTAACAATTTGTGGTTCTCCCGAGTTTCAAATTTGGAACACCGTCTTTTGTCATCGCGTCCACATAATTCTGCCGATACCCGAACTAAATTAAGAGACAAAATTTCAGCATACGTTTAACCTACTTTGAAAAGGTTAATAATCTAGATATATTTATAACACTGTCACTTTTATCATGAATTAAAATAAAAACTTAGTTTAAAATAACTACGAACTTTATTATCTTTGCATTTGATAAAATTGACTAATTTTTCGTACAGAAAAGCACAAAATTTACTCGCGAATCTAATTCTAAACTAATACGTAGAAAACAGTTTTGTTTGAGGGTAATTGATAATACCTGAAACTATACTAACAATATAGAAATAAACAGTATTTTATATTATTTGTCTAAATTGCCTATCACCCAGGGGACAGACTCACATCTGTTCGTTGACATTTTAATAATGAACAAGGAAGGAGACAAAAGTCTTTCTTCATAAATTGAAGTCGTAAATTGTTATTATGTTTTCTATTACCTACCCTATGCATGCATTTTCGCCATTACTACACTGACCATAAACACATTGAAATCACGGACTATACAAAACAATAAAGAAATTATTTTATCTTACTGTATAGTAAAACGAATCTATGTCCCCGCAATGTTTCATTTGGTGTATTTTTGCGGAAAATAATGCAAAGCGTAAATAAGTATTATAAATTATTCAACTGAAATAACACTGAATTCATTTCATTTTAATATTTGTGTTGTTTATTGAAAACGAGACTGAACTGAAAGACAGATAAGGGGTTTAAATAGCTTTCATGCATTCAGTTGTATAATAGGAAAATTCCTTTGTCTTTTGGTCTCTTTGTTCCCACTGTTATGTCTGCCGGTTCAACAAATAAGCTCCAAGAATGTTTTAGGAACTATGAGATTAAAGTCAATGGCAAATCTATTTTGTAGTCTAATAGTATAAAGTGTAGGTTTTAAATTTTTTTGTCTATTAGCAAATAACGTATACATACTTTTCCGAACCTTAAGTAAATTAGTAAAATCTTTTACGATTTTTTTTAATTGGTAACTTTATGTTTTTAACGTATGAACGTACATTTAAAAACATAGGATAGTAAGTATATTTAGATAGGAGAAAAGAAATATTCGATGTTTTTCGACAACTCTCTCCATGACACTTTTAAAATATCAGAACAGTCTCATAAAAGTGCAAAATCATGGTGTGTGTAGTGTTGGTACACATGTACCCAGCTGCAGCGGAACATTCGTCCCAAATGGTGCGATAATGACGGATTGCATCGCGTTGCATTGTGCAACTGCTGTGGGCGTCGTCGACGCGTCGGCGGCTTGAGGCAGGCCATGTCCGTTTCCGACGCCTTTATGCAATCGATATGTCACCGAACGATTGTGGATTGCAACCAGTTTGTAATCGGACTAGAAATATTTGTAAACAAAACTAACCATTCGCAATTTGATGTCAAAGTTGTATTGTTCTATTTTCAAGTTGAACTTAGAAAGAACTTTGTAATTGTTCGTATTAACACGATAGTTAAAAATGGTTACCAAAGAAGAATCTACCTTTATTGCATTTGGAATGTCTCGTTCGTTTTTATACTGACAAAGTTTACAATTTATCGGTGTCAGATATAACTGGACTGTTATCAGGAGACGAATTGCAATAAGTTACGACGCCCGCCGGCGCCGGCGGATTCTTGACGTAAATCGATATTGATACGTCGCTATCTCTCTATATTTAAATGCATCTTGTCTTACAAGTTTACTATTATTATACAATACAAGCAATAATGAATACCTAACTGTCGCCGCGACTCCGTCCGCGTGGATATATAAAAAAAAACTTAATTAGTGTAGCCCACCTATCCATCTATCCACATCACATCCATCTAAACATTCGCATTTATATATTAATAAGTTATATAAAAAGCAGGTTTTCAAGGCATAAATTCGTCCTATGTCCGTCTCCTGGCTCTGAGCTACCTCCTCACCAATTTTCAATTATATCGCTAAAGCCGTTCTTGAGTTATAATTAGTGTAACTAACACGACTTTCTTATACATAATTTAAAATAACTTAGATTCTCATTGATATTTTATTACTTCCAAAATTTTACAAAATATGATTCATAAAACAAGCAGCAAATATATAAAAACTCAGGTGAGTTTGTGAATTATTTTAAACCAAATATTATTTTCCTCAATAAGAGAAGGGAGGAGTACACGAGTGTTGGGAACCACCGAGGTGGTCAACGACGCCCATGGACATCCGCAACACCAGAGGAACTGCAGATGTGTTACCAGCCTTTGTGATACATAAACTCATTCAGTTCTCTATGTGTTCTTCTAGACTATATTCTATATTTGTGCCAAATTTCATCCAAATCCTTTAAACCGTTCTGGAGTTACCTTCTAACAAACATCCATCCATACATCCAAACATACGCATTTATTATATTATATAATATTAGTGTGAGATTATTAGTTTTTTTTAATAAATAGTTTTCGAATAATAGAAATATTAAATTAATTTTAATTATAAAATAAAGCATAAAAGCAATATTTATTATATTTGTAAATTAGCGCTTAAATAAAACTTTCAAAAATATAAATTCTGCGAATATCTTATATCAATATTAAATTATCAATAGCTCTTAATTTTAAATGAACACTAACCCGTTTCTCTTTAACAATACGTGCACTTGTATGTAGTCCTTTGCAGTTGCACATTGTTATAACTAATCGTACTCTCGCACTGATGTTAATATTACAAACTGCGACCACCATACCTCGTAAACATGCGTTCTGTACAACGGCTATTAACATACTGAACGGTCAATGTTCGATGCAACTTTATATATGATGATATTAAAACTCGTTCGTGAATCAGAGTAATACGTCAGTGTTTGATCTACGTAATATTAATGTTTTGTACTTGATGGTTAAGAAGTATTTTGAAAATAGTAGCTTAAACGTCTGTCTTAGCTACGTCATAATTCGTTACACGTACGTAATTTTTTTTTAATTTGGTAGGAAACCTACGTTATTATTAGGCAGATTCGAAATCACATTTTACCAATAAGTAAGTACTTAAATAAAATTACCTTAGCCTTTGGGGTATATCAAATAAATCGAATTGATAAAAAACTTGAAAAATCAGAACTATTATAAAGAAGAAAAAAAACTATTATAAAGAAGAAATATATTTAAAATTAATTCGCCATCAAAACTCTACATTATCTCTAAGTAACATAAGCTATATGTTACAACTAGCTGTCGTCCGCGAATTCGTCCGCACGGAATTGGAAAAAAAATGTTGTCTTACAGCCTATGTTCTACATATATGACGAATTTCAGCGAGAACCATGAAGCTGTTCTAGAGATATCTTCTATCAAACATCCATCCATACATTCAAATATTAGCATTTATTATAGTAAGAGTAAGATTGTCAGCATTCATTGACGGTTTGTTATCTATGGTCGATGTGAGTCAATGACCTTAGTTACACTGCACGATACGAGGCCGCGTATGGAGGCGAACTGATTCGTGGAAGTTTTGCTCCGAAGGCGCCATGATTCAACTTGTATCCGTCTTGCCGCATCCTTGTTAATCAATGGTTAACTTAATTCCATTAAATAAATGTGTTAAACTACTATTTTGATATAAATAAATTTAGTTAAGAGACAGAGAATGTTAGGAATATAATATCTTAGTTTTAAAGGAATAGGTTTTGCGAATGTTTTAAGTAAATGTTGCCAGAAGAAATTCAAAGATATGTGTGAAGTCAACCAAGCCGCACTTGGCTAGCGAGGTTGACTATGGCCCAATCACCCTTAACTTGGGGAAGGCTACTCGGTGGGGATGTACAGTGAGCTGAAGATGATGATGAAATGTTGCCATATTAAGTAAAAATTAAATTGGTATTTTTATATCTTTAACAATGACAACATCCTTGTAAAAGCACCTTCCAATACATTTATTTTTAAATAATTGTATAACGACGTTATTAGGTAAAAGTATTTATGTATATTGACGTAGAGAATCGTCATAGTATAAGGAAGGGACTGTCAGAGGAAATTTAACACGTCTACACATCCTATTTGTGACAGCTTTGTAAGTGGGAAGGAAAAAGACTTCAAAAACATATAATTCATTTGTTTGCTTTGTTTTCAACGAACGTGTCCTTTGTAAGCAACCAATATCAAGGCTGTGAGTTCATACTCAATTAAATATTCCTATTAAAACCGCATAAAGTTGTTTGGTAAATAAAAATATAAAAAGACTAGAATAATAATGCTGTGGTTTTCATCGCACGAAATAGTAAATCATTATTATATTTAGAAAAATAGTATAAATAAAGAGATTTTTATGTTAATTACATACTATTAATTAAGCTGCAAATTGAAGTCTTTTCGCATTTTCTCTGCTAACCTACTAGTATTTATGTTTGTGGTTTGGACCATTCTGCGAATGTATTTACCCACCTTTCTGAGGTTAAGTTTTGGGTTGTCGACAACAAAACACCACACATCAAATCAGAACAATAAAATCGTATATATAAAATTCTCGTGTTACAATTTTCGTTCCCATACTCCTGCGAAACGGCTTGACCGATTCTCATGAAATTTTGTGAGCATATTGAATAGGCCTGAGAATCGGCCAACATCTATTTTTAAATCCGCGCGGGCGACAGCTAGTAAACTTATAATTTTTAATAATCTTCAAACGACTGGACCTTTTGACGTGACTTTTACTGGAAGATAGCTAATGCATGCAGAAGTTACTGAGACTATTTTTTTTAATTCCGTGCAAACGAAGCCGCAGGGAACTGTTAGTAAATAATAT